ATGTTGCTTTCCCACATTTGCACACACACCCAGGAGATGGATGGTCAAGTCTTTCTGACAGGGGGACAGACAAACTCCCTAGCACACAGAACAAACCGTTCAGTGAATGGGTCTCTCTTTGTAGGTATAGCACTTAAGGAAATATGTCGTTTCTTCCTTTGCAGTTAAAGTCTTGTGCCAGTTACCTGCACACTGTATTTTCAACAGATGGAAAAGTAATTACATGCACTGGAAACAATAGACCATGTAAAATGTAGACCCAGACCTCACTGAGAGCCCTATGGTTGTGCAGTCCATTTCATTGTCTGGGGTGAAATCACCCACTGAAGCTTTGTGTTTGGGGGTAACAGGGTCAAAAGTCAATGTGTTAGCAATCAGTCCTCATCACTCCCAGCTACTCCCAAAGGACTAAACACTGGTATTTGTAGTTTACACTTAACAGGGGTGACTTAAACAGGCCCTAAACACAGGCTGTTTATAAAAACAGCCATTGGGTGTGTGTATAAGTGATTTGTTCCATCTGATGGGAATGTTATCCATCCCCTTTTTAGTGCTCTATACACTCCTCCTTTTTTATGGCATAAACAGCAGCGGACTTCTGTAATTGACTTTCTCCGTCCTCTCAGGACAATTGAGCTGGTCCTTGACTTCTTTATGACTTCCCCTTTAGGAGTACTTGTTTGATTACGGTTTTAAGGAGTCCATGATAAAGACTAAGCAAACAGAGCTTTCAACAGAGCCTGGCTTGAAATGTGTGTCACTATGTTGTTTTACCTGAGCTCCACTACACTTGGCAGTTGACCGGTGAATGTACAGTATTATAGATTTTGATGACTGAGTCCAACAGTTTTTGAATCGGGAAAATTTCAATTGTGAAACTGCTCAAATTATTTTTCACGCCAAGCTTTGGCAGTTGTCCAGTCAATCCTGAGGGCATTCAACAACCACAGTGGGCCAACAAAGAGGGCACCTTAAACAAAAACCTAATTTCCTGCTGGATGAGAGTGCAGGGTTATTAATCAAGATAAGAGGAGTGGAAGAGGAAGTGAGGTGAGTGTGCATGTAAGTTAGTGAACTTCTGTTTTTAGCTGAAGGGAGCTAATAACAGCCAGTAAAAACCTACCTTCTGCTTACTCCCAACAGAGATGACACCTCCGCTGCATTTCTGACATTCTTGAGGCCATTGCAGGCCTGTCACAATTCCCACTCTCCCATTTAATCAGCTGTTTTCTGGGTGTCACCACCTGACAGTGCATCCCCTAGCCAGGCACCCACAAAGCCTTGTCCAGCCAAAAAAAAAAAAAACCAAAACAAAATTAGTCCTTCTATTTACAACTCTTTATCTCTATCATTGCATGACAGAGGTTTTTATCACCCACCCATCGGCACAATGCTGGACACTTGCCCCCGCACCCCAGTTTCAATGGACGGAAATTAGAAATGCAAAACAGAACAGTAGTGAAAGGACATGTGGCTCCATCAGCTTCCATATAAACAATGGAGAATCTCCCAGTGTTTAGCTCCTACTTCCTCCCAACATACAGCACCAACAAAAGGCACCATTATGACTAGGTTTCTGCTGTTTCCAGCACCAGTCTCTGGATGAGAACATCTTCAGATAGTTTGGTACTGAATAGAATTAGAGTTATTTTAAGTTTTCTCTGAGACAAAGATAAAAAGTTTAAAATCCCTAGAGATCACTGGAGCAGAAAAATAACAGACAGCATAGAAAATGGAATTGGTGTAAAAATAGAATAACCACTGTACTTGTTCACTGTGCTTCTCTGACAACTACAAAACCCGTCAATTTCAAGCTCACCTTTAACTTTATTGCACCCAAGGTAAATTGTAAAAGACAGACAGACAACAAAAAAAATTAGACAAAATATAATTTACTAAGATATGGCCACCATACAGACAAAGACATCAATACCCACCCTAGTAATTATCAAAAACGTGATGCAAAGCAGTGAATGATTTCACTGTCATCAGAGAATCACTCATCAAAAAAGGGATGGGTTCATTTTGGGGTTACAATTATGTAATCAAAAAATCAGTGACAAATACACTTGACAGATACTTTAACAAATATCAGATTGTTTTCCACAAAAACACTTTTTTCATATCAGCAATATTTGAGGAAGTTTCAATCTAAAGAAGGGAGATAACACTACAACTGCAGTGCATTCGACAACAGACAAACCAGCAGCACCATCTTCTCTACGTAAATTGGTCCCTGATGAGAGATCTAGAAATGTGCAAGCCATAGCCCAAGTGTTTGTTTACATCATAAGAAATACTCCTCTCTCTCAGACAAGGAGTCTCTGCGGCCTTGATAAGGACCATAGGTATTTATTACACCTAGAAGAGCCATTTTAGTGAATTGTTTGACAATGGGCTGTCTCACATACAGTAAAGACATTCAGCGCACGCTAGAGAGGAGTTTTGAATCTACTGCTCATATTGCTGTTTCTGGCATAATGACAAACAATGGAGACAAAGCCAGTGACACAAAGAGAGGGCTGCCAGGCTTTAGATGATAAAAAAATCCCTGAGTTTTGAGAGATGGAAGATGGTTCAAATGTGAATGGAGGTCTTGGTTATGCTCTACAATGAACATCCCTCGAGACCAACACTGCATGTCCTGTAATTGTCCCGAGTCTGCCTCTCTGGTCTCAGTCTCCATGGGGGGTGACATCTCGTCTCAAGAGCAGAGAAAGGGGAGATATCTACAAACCAATCACAGCCCACTTAGTCAGACCTCCATCTCTTACCCTCTCATTCCTCCTGGAGAGAAAAGCACTGGGCTGAAGCCAATTCCAAACTACAGAATTACACACACACAAAAAACAGAGAGGGGGAAGAGAAAGGCTTTGACCTACCCATTCCCCTCAAAGCCTCAGTGGCAGAGCTATGGCAATAAATAAATACAGCCTTCAAACAAAGTCAAACTCTTTGGAACCAAGACTTTGTTTCAGACCTGCTCTGACAGATAATCCCTCACAAATCCAAAATCTCTGAAGGACTCAGTTAACCGAAAAGGCTGAAATATATACTGTACACCGACAAAAAGCATTCACAAAACATGGAATCAAAGCTGGTACCAGTCTGAAAAGCTAATGGAGTCAATGATAGCAACACCTGAGTTCTACATAATAAGAATGTACATCTACATGAAGAATAAATTTAGTCATCTTTAATGTTTCAATCACTGCACGGGCACCACAGTGTTAGCATCTTTGTCAGATGGAATAGAAAACAAGACAAAGAATGTGCACATGCACATGAATATGCAGACAGACAATTCAACTGACAGTTAAGAGTCTGTAATTCCCTCTAAGAAAAAAGTGAAGCTGAATTTGAACAACAAAAGTTCTAGTATTTAAAACAAGCTTCCAAAGCATCTGCACATGCTGCTATTATATAAAGTCTTACTGGAAGTTGCACATTAAATGTTTAGTTTTAGTTGTGAATAAAGGTGTTGCTGTAGATCTCCAGCAGACCTGACCACTGCCTCTTCAGTGGCCAGCACACACACCAGTCCAAATCTTCACCACATGTAAATAGCTGTCATTCAGTGGAGCCCTCTCGGCTGTTCAGGCATATGATTCACACACTTCTGATAGAAAAGGTCACTATCAGTCCTATGAAAACAAGAGGCCCTCTCAGTCTGGCTCTACTCAGGACTGCAACAGTCTACCCAGCTGGGCGCTCTTCATTTACTGCTGCTGCAATCGATAGCCCATTGCCGATTCATCACAGCAAAGAGCCAGGGATTATATGACTGGGGGCTTGACTCGTCCACCCACACTGAATACAGAGGGAAGCCAATGGACTGTTGAGGTCAGAGTAGATTAATATTCAGAGTAAAC